TTCCTTCAAGACCGTCTGTGTTTTTTGTTTTTTTCTTTTTTGGGTCTCCTGATATGTGTATACTAGGCACTGAAATATTTTTGAATAATTTCATCTCTTAGTAGATTTCAAAAAATCTGAGACACTTAATTGGCTTAGATTCAAAGGAATCGTACATAGAATGCACTGATATTTTTCTGACAAATGACAAATGCTTTTTGGCATGGGATAATTGGTGTTAAGTACCAAACATCTATCCCAGAGAAATTTAAACTTGTTTATATCAAAGAAGATTTAACATAAATAGGCATTTATAAATTGTGAAATTTAAAGGTTATTAATGCAACAATGAACTTTCAGTCTGTTGCTGTATGATTAGGCTAGAAATTACCAAACTGTCCCTGGCTTGACACAGCTAAACCTTGGTGGTGTTAGGAGATGGCCTAGCCCTCACAGCTTGGTTATCTGTTGGACGTAAAAATTTCACAGTATACCAACATAGACAACATGTGACTAATGAAGTGGGAGTGGGGGGCGGGGGGAGACCACTTAGGAATTTTGTCTAAGCAGAGATAAAATCCAAGGTACTGTGGCAAACTACAAAAATGATACCTTTTATTATTATTAACTTTACTCAATAATAAGCTGCTATTCATAAGGTTTTCATTGGCCAGTTCTTTTAGCAGTAGATCATCAGGTTCTTCTTACCAGTCTGTCTTAGTCTGGAACCTCCACAGTAACCTGCTCACCATGGGTGACCTTCCTGGTATTTGAAATACTGCTGGCATAACTTCCAGGATCACAGCAACACGCAAGCCACCACAGTATGACAAACTAACAGACAAGTGGAATCATTGCTGATGTCAAAATTATCTTGGCTGAAAGCAGAGAATATCAGGGAAATGTTTATGTGTGTTTTATTGACTATGCAACGGCATTTGACTCTGTGAATCATAACAAATTATAGATAATATTGTGAAGAATGGGAATTCCAGAACACTTAATTGTGCTCCTGCGGAACCTGTTCATAGAGGCAGTGATTTCAACAGAACGAAGGATACTGAGTGGTTTAAAATCAGGAAAGGTGTATATCAGGGTTGTATCATTTTACTTACTTTTTCAATCTGTACGCTGAGCAAATAATCTGGGAAACTGGACTATATGAAGAAGACTGCGGCATCAGGATTGGATGAAGACTCATTAACAACCTGCGATATTCAGATGACACAACCTTGCTTGCTGAAAATGAAGAGGACTTGAAGCACATACTGATGAAGATCCAAGACTACAGCCTTCAGTGTGGATTACACCTCAACATAAAGAAAACGAAAGTCTTCATAACTGAACCAATAAGCAACATCATGATAAACGGAGAAAAGATTGAAGTTGTCAAGGATTTCATTTTACTTGGATTGACAATCAAAATGCCCATGGAAACAGCAGTCAAGATATCAAACGACATATTGCATTGGACAAATCTGCTGCAAACGAGCTCTTGAAAGTGTTGAAAAGCAAAGATGTCACTTTGAAGACTAACTGCACCTGACACAAGCCATGGTATTTTCAGTTGCCTCTTGCATGTGAAAGCTGGACAATGAATATGGAAGACCAAAGAGGAACTGATGCATTTGAATTATGGTGTTGGTGAAGAATATTGAATATACCATGGTGAGGATGGTGAGATGTTGTCTTACATACTTTGGATATGTTATCAGGAGGGACCAGTCCCTGGAGAAGGACATCATGCTTGGTAAAGTAGAGAGTCAACAAAAAAGAGGAAGACCCTCAATGAAATGGATTGACACAGTGGCTGCAACAATGGGCTCAAACATAGCAACGACTGTGAGGATGGCACAGGACCAAGCGGTGTTTCCGTTCTGTTGTACGTAGGGTTGCTATGAATTCGAAACGACTTGACAGCACCTAACAACAACTCAATAATAACTTTACCTACATGGGGTAGTATTGTGAGAAAATCCAATTATCTGTACATAACAGATTGAGACAAAAGTAAAATGGGCAAATAATTAATTTCTGCATAAAAACCATATATACATATAGTTTAGTAAAAATCAAAAGAAGATGTTAGGAATACACAGAGTGATTGTACCAAAAAGAATTGGTTGACTTTCAACCATTTCAGGAGGTAGCATATGATCAAGAACCAATGGTACTGAAGGAAGAAGTCCAAGCTGCACTGAAGGCATTGGCAAAAAACAAGGCTCCAGGAATTGATGGAATACCAATTGAGATGTTTCAACAAACAGATGCAGCGCTGGAGGTACTTTCTTGTCTATGACAAAAAATTTGGAAGACAGCTACCTGACCAAACAACTAGAAGAGATCCATATTTATGCCCATTCCAAAGAAAGGTGATCCAATAGAATGTGGAAATTATCAAACAATATCATTAATATAATATGCAAGTAAAATTTTGCTGAAGATCAGTCAAAAGTGGTTGCACCAGTTCACTGACAGCAAACTGCCAGAAAGTCAAGCTAGATTCAGAAGAGGACATGGAACAAGGGATATCACTGCTGATGTCAGATGGATCCTGGCTGAAAGCAGAGAATACCAGAAAGATGTCTACCTGTGTTTTATTGACTATGCAAAGGCATTTGACTCTGTGAATCATAACAAATTATGGATAACATTGCAAAGAATGGGAATTCCAGAATACATAATTGTGCTCATGAGTAACCTGTACACAGACCAAGAGGCAGTCATTCAAACAAAACAAGGAGCTATTGAATGGTTTAAAATCAGGAAAAGTGCACATCAGGGTTGTATCCTTCCACCATACTTATTCAATCTGTATGCTGAGCCAATAATCAATGAAGCTGGGCCATATGAAGAAGAATGAGGCATCAGAATTGGAGGAAGACTCATTAACAACCTGTGACATACAGATGACACAACCTTGCTTGCTGAAAGTGAAGAGGACTTGAAGCACTTACTAATGAAGATCAAAGACTACAGCCTTCGGTATGGATAACACCTCAACATAAAGAAAATAGAAATGCTTACAACTGAACCAATAAGCAACATCCTGATAAATGGAGAAAAGATTGAAGTTGTCAAGAATTTCATTTTACTTGGATCCAAAATCAATGCCCATGGGAAAGCAGCAGTCAAGAAAGTAAACGACATATTGTGTTGAGCAAATCTGCTGCAAAAGACCTCTTTAAGTTATTGAAAAGCAAAGACGTCACTTTGAGGACTAAGTTTTGCCTGACCCAAGCCATGGTATTTTCGGTTGCCTCATATGCATGATAAAGCTGGGCAATGAATAGGAAGACGTAAGAAGAATTGATGCCTTTGAATTATGGTGTTGGCAATGAATATTGAATATACCATGGACTGTCAGAAGAATGAACAAATCTGTCTTGGAAGAAGTACGGCCAGAATGCTCCTCAGCAGCAAGGATGGCAAGACGTCGTCTCACGTAATTTGGACATGTTATCAAGAGGGACCAGTCCTTGGAGAAGGACATCATGCTTGGTAAAGTGTCATCGAAAGAGAGGAAGACCCTCAATGATATGGATTGACACAGTGACTGCAAAGATGGGCTCAACCATGGCAACAATTTTTAGGATGGCACAGGAATGGGCAGTGTTTTGTTGTACAGAGGGTCACTGTGAGTTGGAACCGACTTGGCAGAACCTAAAAACAACTAGTAAAAGAAGGCAATTACCGTTTAGTCCTAGTTCACAGATGGGGTTCTTAATTAGTCAAGTCAAAGGAAAAAAAGTTGTCTTTGCATGCATTTTGGGTTTAAAATAATGTGAGTTTTTAAAAAGTAATTACTCCTCGTGGGTTAAAACAGATTTGGGTATTGTTTTCACTGTGAGTAATTAACTGAAAAATTTCAGAAAATATAATGGAATTATCAATTATTGTAGTTCTGTTAATCCAGGCAAACAAAAGTTAATTTCAAGTAAGGCGTGTAATCAACTATAAGACTTGGATTTTTAATTCTACCAAGAGGTTCTGCTTTCTACATGAATTGGGTGAATGCACATACTTTAAATAAGAGTTGTGGCAACAGGTGTTTGTTTCCTCAATGTAAATGCTGTCATGACAGTAATTATTTGAGAGTTTAATAACATCAACTCTGTCAAGTTTTATTTGTAAATCTCAAGTAGCCAGAAGTGTCTGGCACATTATAGGAACTAAACAGTGTTGTTTTAAATGAGTGCTTTTTCTAAATAAAATAATTCAGTTTGTACAACACAATACCTCCCCCTCAAAAAAAGTTTAATATTATACGGCATGAATTCTTCATAGATTAAAAAACATTCCAATATCATGCTTGAAATGAACTTACTGGGTCGAAGTTCACTTGCATTTCTTTATTCTATTACTACCTTGGTGATAAGTTTCATTTTTCGACGTTTGGGTATGTCCCCAAACGCAAGGACCTAAGCTTTTCACATGTCTATATTGTGAGAAGCATTACAAAATCACCAAGCCTGGGATCTCGCCATCCCTCCCCGAAGTCACCCCTGCGTGTCCCCGAGACCCTCCCGCCAGCGGAGCCGCCCTTTCAGCGCTCACGTGAGCGCGACGACATCCTTGGCCGCGGGAGTGGCCGGGGGCGGCGCATGCGCGCAGGCGGGCAGGCGACGTGCTGGTGACCGAACCACGGTGCGGGCTGAGCTCTAGCCCCTCGCCGGCTGGACTTGGACTCTGGGGCGGTGCGAGCGGCCGTCTGTACGAGGCCGCGCTCTGCCGAGCCAGTCTCGCCACCCAAACTCTGTGGGGTTCGGGCCCTGCACCCAGCCCCTTTGCCCCTGTGGGCTGCCGCCCACCCCCACCCCCGCGTCCGAGTGGGAGGGCTCCAGGAGGTGGACTGGCATCCAAGCACCGGCGACTCCGGGCGGAGCTCCACTGCCTTTGCTTTTGTTTTTACCTTCCTGACTTCCGAATTCAGATGTGAAGTGACTGCCAGCTCAGAGTAGACCCTCGCGCTCTTTGAAGATGCACCTTTCTTTTCCAGTAAGGCGATAACTGCGCCGTTCGAGTTTGAGCGTTCCACCAGCAGCAGTTTCCAGAAATAGTTTTGTTTTATATTATTTCTTTTTTTTTTTTTTGTCAGTGAAGATGTTGACATTTGTGTTTGCCTCCAAACCAGTGTTTTGCTAGCAACTTAAATGACTTATTGTCAGAAAGGCTATATATTTTCTCTCCCAGGTGATCGTATGCTTATTTTCCATGACAGATCTTGACGACAATATATGCAAAGGATATATAAAGATGATAACAAATATAGTAATATTGAGCCTGATCGTTTGCATTTCTTTAATTTTCTGGATTCTGTCTATGACTGCAAGTACCTACTATGGTGAGTATGAATGTTCTAAGTTGTTTTTCTATGGTCTAATCGGTGGAATTTAAAATTGTATCATTGTGAAATCTAAAACTCATATCCTCTGAATGGTTATGAATGGTTGTTTTTACATGACTTCTGCAGCCTGACTTTCGTTTACTGACTGAATTTAATTTGCTAACAGGAAAATATGCAATGCCTTGAAGGTTTTAAAGCCTTTAATAAATGTTTGTTGCAATTATTCTAGTTATACCAACTTCAGAATATATCTTCACATTTTATGTAATTATTACATGTATCTTGGTGTGAAGATAAGTGAGCTGAAATGTAGTTTGGTGAAGCGATTACAGTGATGCTTTTCATTTTGAAAAAGATTGTTAGCAGTGTAATTTATCAGTTTCATGTGTTCTGTAAAAATAACAATAAAAATAAAAGATGGAATAATGTTTACGTTTGAAGATTTGGAGAATTTGTCTGCCATTTGGTCATTTCAAAAAAACAGGCTGCTTTTAAAACGTGAAGCTGCTTGACAAATAAAAGGTACTTTGGGCTTTAAGGTTTTGAAGCTGCTTTAGAACATAAACATGCCTTTACACAAACTTCCTTCTTCTTGTTGTTAGGTGCCATCGAGTCACTTCTGACTCATAACAGCTCTGTGTACAACAGAACAAAACACTGCCCGGTCCTGCATCATCCTCAGGATCGTTGTTATGCTTGAGCCCATTGTTGCAGTCACTGTGTCAATCTATCTTGTTGAGGGTCTTCCTCTTTTTCACTGACCCTCTGCTTTACCAAGTATGATGTCCTCCCCAGGGACTGATCCCTCCTGATAACATGTCCAAAGTATGTGAGACGAAGTCTCACCATCCTTGCTTCCAAGGAGCGTTCTGTGTACTTCTTCCAAGACAGATTTGTTCATTCTTTTGGCAGTCCGTGATATATGCAATATTCTTCGCCAACACCACAATTCAAAGGCGTCAATTCTTCTTTAGTCTTCCTTGGTACTCCTATAAAACAGAATATTGGTTAGTTCACAACAAAAGAAAAAGTGAGAAGGAGGATGAGAAAGTGAACTCTTGTAAATGTTATAAGTCATGGCCATTTGAGATTTTAGTCCATTTGCAAAGAGACATGTAAATAATCAGATGGGTGTTCTCCAGGGTATAGGAACTCTCAGGGCTGTTCACTCATAATGATTCTAGGAGAAGATTCTTATTAAATAGAATAAACCAGGATTTATAAACTCAGGTGTCTCCCTGGGGCCAGGCACATAATGCAAATTATGAAGCTGTCCAGGTTTTTGCATATGAAACACAGGAAAAGTTTTCATCTCCAGAAATAGGATTTTCCCGTATTTGTTGAACATCTGGCCCTCTTAGTCTTTCGTTTTCCCATTTTTGATAGAAATGTGTGCCCAAGCAATAGTTCACATTTTTCTTTACTATAAAGAAACTATTCAGCCTCAGTGTCTTTGGAGTTTGCTGGGAGTGGTGGGAACTTTGAATGGAAAGCCATGGCCTATCTAAAAGAGGCGGCCTCCACCACATGGGTCAAAACTTCCTGTTTTAAAAACAAGCCAAGAATCTAGATTTTTATTATGAAATCTATACTTCAAATATTGACTCAAATTGTTTGAAAACACTATGTATGCTAGTCAAACAAAACATCTGTCACCTGAATACAACCTTTGGAAAAAATTGATTGCTAATCCTTAAATCAGTTGTGCAACCTGTGAGAATGTTACTTTTTTTTTTTTAATCTCTTTGAAAGGCAGAAAGAGGGAGAATTAGATCCTGTTAAGAAAGGAGTCTGTTCTGTGTAGTTCTTGAAAGTTAATGTGCACTTCCTTTAGAAAAATGTGGAACTGGATATTCATCTCAAATCCTCAAACATGTATGAAATACACGTTATTATATATAGCTGTAAAGGGTTCTCAAAACTTGGGCAGGACCCATACAGCCATTCCCTAGTAAAATGGGCCTTTGGAAAATGTGCAGGTCTCACTGTAAACATTTTACTTTGGTGACTTCATCTCAGTATCTTAAACAAATTATGACAGTATTTTAGTCCAGAATGTAGTTATCAAAGCTTAATGCCAAGACTAACCTGTGTAGGCTTCATATAATTTGTGTTGCTCCTTTATAATTTTTCAGGTAATTTACGGCCTATTTCTCCATGGCGCTGGCTGTTTTCTGTTGTTGTTCCTGTTCTGATGGTCTCTAATGCCTTTAAAAAGAAAAGTCTAGATCGCAGTGGGGCTTTAGGAGGTATGTTTTTATTTTGAGTGTTTAAAATAGCCATGTAATAAGTGCCTGCTTATTTAAATTTGTGTTTTCAAAACTCTTAGAGTATATAAAACTACAAATTATACTGTTCTGTATTTTAAATAATGATGAAGTTATGCATCGCTCAGCATTACTGTCCTGTCAAAATTGTAGAAATGAACATGCGTTTTTAGTGTATACATAAAAATTTAACTTTGTAATTGATTTCAATTAGGTTAACAGCATAGATTTTTGAGGACCTTGACCATTTGCTCCTTTAGTTGGAGTAATTGATCCCCTGCTAACAAAAACACTGGAGCACTCTTCCTAAGTGTAAATAGGAGAGCAATTTGAAAGAGTAACTTTCGGACATTGCTGTTAGTAACTTCAGGCTAGACAGCCCAAACTGAGTGTTCTAGACTAATTTTTCAGAACCGAGTTGAAGACAGGATGCTTATTCTTTCAGCAAATATTTATTGAGCTTTTACTATGTGCCACTGTTCTAGAAACGGGCTGTGGCTGTGAACAAAAAGGACAAGGTTTCAGTTCTCATGGAACTTCCTTTCTTTAGGGCAGATAACAAATAAAATGTATAACACTTCTGAGGTAGTGATTGAGTTTATTGGAAAAATTAAAGGTTAAATAAAATGTGTAGTGTAGTTAGGGGTGGGGGACAGTCTTTCATAGATAGGGTCAGGGATGACCCTTCCCTCTAAGGAGGTAATTTTGAGCTGAGCCCTGAAGAAGCCAGCAATGAGAAGATGTGAGAGAAGCATGTTCCAGGTTAACAGAAGAAAAAAATGCAAAAACCCTGGCATATGTAAGCCTGGCTCGTTCAGGGTTGATAATAAGGCCCGTTTGATTAGAAAATCAGTGAAACCCGTGAGAGCCAGAACTTGAAGGGACTGCTGTGTTTTTCCAGATCTCAAAAGTTTTCTGCCGTTGATAGGGTGCAGTCTTTCCACTTTTCTGTCGCTCTCTATTAATGTAAAATATTTGAGTTTTCCTTCTCTGACAGGTTTCTGTCTTACACAGGTTCTGGCTTTTGCCAGTTTTGCCGTAGTAAGAAAAGGAAAAGTATTGAGAGGTGAAGTTGAAGAAATAGGCAGGGCCCAGGTGAACTGGGGGCTTGTAGGTCATAGTAAGAATTTTATTCCAAATGAGGTAGGATCCCCCTGCCTTAAACTAGGCGAGTGACATGATCTGATTTAACTCCAGAACTTTCATATCCTGCCAGTATTACAAGCATAAGAACATGAGGATTCCCCCCCAAATACTTACTATAGGATGAGATCACTACGTGTGAAGATTATTTAGAACTAGAAGATCCTGAAGCTACCTACCCAGCCTTGAAAATGCTGCTGATCATTAGCCCCCAACACGCTGTAAACACATTCTGCTGCCTCTACATTCATGTACAGCAGATATTTCTCAAAGTTGTTTTAAAAATAGAGTAGGCTGTTATGGAGGCAACATAGCATGATGGGTAAAAGGATCAGGCAAGATGAGTTTTAATAATAGTTATGGCCAATTCGTTGACTTGAGATGTTTAATAGCCTCAGGCTTTCATAACCTGGTGCATCATCTCCGCAATAGGGATGTACATACCAGGCTTCTGCTTGAAAGGGCCCGCTGCATCCTAGAAAGTATTTGGAAAGACACTGCCTTTGAGTCAGAATTGATGGCAACAGGTTTATTTTTTTTGGTTTTGGCTTCTAAGCACTGCCAGTGTTTACCCCAGAGCCTCCATTTTTTTTGGATTCCACTGACTATCAACTTTTTGATTTATATATCATATGAATAACATTGCGAAGAATGGAAATTCCAGAACACTTAATTGTGATGAGGAACCTGTACCTAGATCAAGAGGCAGTTGTTCGAACAAAAGAAGATACTACATGGTTTAAAGCCAGGAAAGGTGTGTGTCAGAGTTGTATCCTTTCACCATACGTATTCAATGTGTATGCTGAGCCAATTATCTGAGAGGCTGGACTATATGAAGAAGAATGCAGCATCAGGATTGGAGGAAGACACATTAACAGCATGCAGGTGACACAGCCTTGCTTTCTAAAAGTCAAGAGGTCTTGAAGTACTTACTGATGAAGATCAAAGACTGCAGCCTTCAGCATGGATTACACCTCAACATAAAGAAAACAAAAATCCTCACTACTGGACCATTAAGCAACTTCATGGTCAATGGAGAAAATATTGAAGTTGTGAAGGATTGCATTTTACTTGGATCCACAATCAACACCCATGGAAACAGTAGTCAAGAAATCAAACAACGCATTGCATTGGGCAAATCTGCTGCAAAAAAACCTCTTTAAAGTGTTAAAAAGCAAAGATGTCACTTCAAAGACTAAGGTGTGCCTGACCCAAGCCATGGTGTTTTCAATGACCTCATATGCACGTGAAAGCTGGACAATGAATAAGGAAGACCAAAGAATTGATGCATTTGAATTATGATGTTGGCGGAGAATACTGAATATATCATGGAACGAACAGATCTGTCTTGGAAGAAGTATAGCCACAATGCTCATTAGAAGCAAGGATGGCAAGACTTCGTCTCACATACTTTGGACATGTTATCAGGAGGGATCAGTCTCTGGAGGAGGACATCGTGCTTGGTAAAGTAGAATGTCAGTGAAAAAGAGGAAGACCCTCAATGAGATGGATTGACAAAGTGACTGCAACAGTGGGCTCAAGTATAACAATGATCATGAGGATGGCGCAGGACTGGGCAGTGTTTTATTCTGTTGTACATAGGGTCGTTATGAGTCGGAACTGACTTGACGGCACCTAACGACAATAGCAAAGCTTTGTTTTTTGTTTTTGTTTTTTAAAAATAAAAGCAATATGGAGCCATGAAGGTTCTTCAGGTAAGAGCAATCTGATAAAATGTTATGTTAAAATAAGATCTCTTTGGCAGCTATAGGCAAAGTGAATTGGAAGAGGAGGAGTCTGATGTAGGGAGATTAATTAGAATGCTATTGCGGTCATGTAGATTATAGGCTACATAGGCCTAGACTATATTTGTGCAGTGGGCATGAAGCAGAAAAGCTGAATCTGAGATTAACTTCCAAGAAGAAGCCATAAGATATAAGCGGTAAAGAGACAGGGAAGTTGAGAGTGTGAATAACTGAATAACTGGATCAGTGTACCAGAGGGGATAGTTCTGTCTTAGATTAGTACTTTGGTATGAGTGATACTAGGCATGTGTAGAGAGGATCAGGACCAAACTTTGATAACTGCTGCTATACACTGTACGGGGCGTTGGTGGCACAGTGGTTAAGCATTTAGCTGCTAATCAAAAGGTTGGCAGTTCAAATCCGCCAGCCACTCGTTGGAAACCTTATGGGGCAGTTCTGCTCTGTCCTGTAGGGTCACTGTGAGTCAGAATCGACTCGACGGCAATGGGTTTAGTGTTTTTTGTTTTTGTTTTTTAATACACTGTACCTATTTATCTTTTCTGCTGTCTGTCTTCTCCACTAGAATGTAAATTCTAAGAGGCTAGGATTTTGGAAACATGTACTGCTGTTTCCTAGCACATAAATGGAGCCTGACACACAGTAGTGCTCAAATTTGAACGGGTAGAATTAATACATATCCTTGAATGTGTGCTTAGGAACTTGCACTTTTTCTTGCAGATAAAAATGAGCCTTTCCAGCTTGATCTTTTGGTATGTTATCTTTTCCTCATCTTTTCCCTCCCCACTCCTGGTCACACAAAACAAACTCCACTCTTTCTGATTCCCCTTCGCTTTTTAGAGTAAAGATGAACTTCTTAGAAAGGATCCAAGGCTCTTCCCTGATTTTTCCCTGTCATACCCATCTAGCGTCATCTCCCCAACATATCTGTACAGACCTTATGTGCTTGCCATGCCACACCTTTCCCTAGAATACACCTGTGTCTTCCCACTTGCATGACTTGACTCATGTTGTTTTCTCAGCCTAAAGTGCCCCTTTCTTCTTCTTTATTTATAAAAATCCTATTTAGCTTTCAAGGCCTCCCCATTTCTGTGGGTAGGGATAAATTATTCCTTCCTAGTACATGTTCTCATAGTTCTTGGCTTCTACTGCAATCATATCTGTTTAATTTTTTATGTTAATGAGCTACATGTCTCCTCAGCTATATAGTAAGCTTCTTGAAGGCAGATAATGTTTTGTTTCATTTCTGTATTCCCCCACAGTATGTGACACAGCTCAGTGGGTAATAGGCACGGTGATGGAATTAATCAGAGAAATCAGATGACTGAGTTCAAGAGAGTGTTATTGCTTTAAACCTATGGAATATTTCAACCGTTCACTAAAGAAGAGAGAATAGTGCAGTGAACTCCTGTATACCCATCACCCCGCTTCAACAAATATCAGTCTTATCATCAATTTTGTTTTTTCTGCTCCTCTCCATTCTTCCCTCTTCCCCAACCTCCACATTGTTTTTTGCCAAATTGGAAAGTGAAAGCAGGAAAGAAAAGACTTGGATTCCTTAAATTTGACTAAGGATCTCAATGGCAAAAATTGTTGTATTGCCTTGTGACATCTTTTTACAGTAGAGGAGAGAGCAGTGGTGTGCCCCAGCGGCTGGCATCAGGCTGTGAGCAGCCTGCCTGCTGAAGGAGTCCATCCCTGTTTCAACTCCCTTAGTGTTAAAAGCCACGTAGTACCTGGGTAGGAAATATGCCAGAGTGTGCTAAACCCTTAACCTATTTATCCCAAAGCTTATCCCAGAATGATAACTGCTTCTTGTGGTGCTTGAAGAGTCCCCAGAGCTGAAATATACATTTTTCTCTCTTTTTTTTTAATCTGCTGTTGCTCAGGAAGGCTATTTTGATTTTAATCTCCTTGTCTTCTTCTGAACAATTGAGTGCCCACTATGTGCAAGATATGAACTAAAAACCAAGAAGAGACATTAATTAAGTCCTTTGTCTCTGGCATATGCAGGTCCTCTTGCAAAGTACCATGGGTAAGTTCTTGATCATTGGGTCAAATATTAAGGAGAATTTTTGATTGGAATAAATTTTCATATAAAGAGGCAGAATAGCATAGTGCCAAAAGTGTAGACTCTGGAGCCGTACTACCTATTTTTGAATCTGGGCTCTGCCACTTACTAGTTATGTGACTGTGGGCAAGTTACTTAACTTTCCTGGCCTGCACAATGGAGATAATAATAGTGTCTGCCTCATAAGTTATTGTTATTGTTTTCCTTCTACTGTTTGTAAATTGTAAAGCACTGTGCAGGTGACTTGTTCCAAGGAAGTTTTCTCTATTTATTGAATGTGGTTCTTTGAACACATGAACATGGACAACTAGTCATCAAGTCTTAGGCTTGGCAAGTTTAAATTTAATTTTACTTGCTAAGACCATTAGGTTTAGTGATTTACTTTTTTTCTTTTTCCATTCATTCATTCAACAAATATTTGTTGTTCTTAGGTGCCGTCAAGTCAGTTCCGACTCATAGCGACCCTATGTACATCAGAACGAAAGACTGCCCGGTCGCGCCATCCTCACAATTATTGTTATGCTTGAGCCCATTGTTGCAGCCGCTGTGTCAGTCCATCTCGTTGAGGGTCTTCCTCTTTTTTGCTGACCCTCTACTTTACCAAGCATGATGTCCTTCTCCAGGGACCGGTCCCTCCTGATAACATGTCCAAAGTATGTGGGACAAAGTCTCACCATCCTTGCTTCTAATGACATTGTGGCTGTACTTCTTTTAAGACAGATTTGTTCAGTCTTCTGGCAGTCCATGATATGTTCAATATTCTTCTCCAACACCATAATTCAAAGGCATCAATTCTTCTTCCTCTTCCTTATTCATTGTCCAGCTTTCATATGCATATGAGGCGATTGAAAACATCATGGCTTCGGTCAGGTGCTCCTTAGTTCTTAAAGTGATACCTTTGCTTTTTAACACTTTAAAGACATCTTTTGCAGCAGATTTGCCCAATGCAATGCGTTGTTTGATTTCTTGACTACTGCTTCCGTGGGCGTTGATTGTGGATCCAAGTAAAATGAAATCCTTTACAACTTCGGTATTTTCTCCATTGATCGTGAAGTTGCTTAATGGTCCAGTTGTGAGGATTTTTGTTTTTTTTATGTTGAGATGTAATCCATACTGAAGGCTATAGTCTTTGATCCTCATCAGCAAGTACTTCAAGTCCTCTTGACTTTCAGCAAGCAAGGTTGTGTCACCTGCGTATCGCATGTTGTTAATGAGTCTTCCTCCAATCCTGATGCTGCATTCTGCTTCATATAGTCCAGCTTCTCTGATTATTCAACAAATATTTAGTGAGAGTCTTCTGTGTGACAGGTACTGTTCTGGGCAAAGGATTTAACAGTGAACAAAAATGGACCAAAATTCCACTGTCAAAGAGTTTACATTACTAGTCTGGGGAGACAGATGATAAATAAGATGGTTTTGTGGCATTAATCCCCAGAAAGAGATGCTTTGTGATGGAGGAGCACAGCAAGATGGGGTGTTGCCAGGAAAGACCAGCTAGTTGTACTCTGTGCGGTCTCACATGGGTGGCCTTATCCCTGTTTCCCATGGTTCAGGTTTGGTGTTCTGTCCTTCTGAGTAGAAACCTCGCTCTGTTAGGTACCTAGAGTTGATCAGAGCCAACAAAACTGTATAACGCTGTTTATTATCATAAGGAACTGATGTATGAGCCAGAATGCCACTTTGTCAATCTGATAAAATATAGAACCACCAGTCAGACCGGAATGGAAACGTCACCATTCAGGCGTGTCCTATTCTTGTGGTCATGCTACTTGAGAAGTCATATTATGATTAGAAGGTTGCTTTGCTGAGAGCAGAGTCTGAGAAACAGTCAATAATGCAAGTCCATAGATCAAAGGGTCCTATACTAGGTATTTTATCTTTAATGCCTAGAAGGCATTTTGTTCTGATATATATAAGGTCACAATGAGTTGAGTCGACTCGACAACAACTAACAGCAGCAACAACCACATTACCTTGTTTCTTGCACTCAGTTAAAATATACTAAACTTAAGTAGAATGTCAGTAATTGAGCATCTTTGGACGGATTAATCAACAACTGTATGTGAATAGTTGTGGTGGCTTGAACTTGAGCTGAGCAATGGAGAGGGTTATTAAAGAAATGGGAACCTGGTCCCCTGTTCTATTATTTAACAGTTTGTAGTTAGAAAGAAAGGGAAGCCCTGATGGTGCAGTGGTTAAAGGTGCTCAGCTGCTAACCAAAAGGTCAGCAGTTCAAACCCACTAGCCACTCTGCAGGCAAAAGATATGGCAGTCTGCTTCTGTAAAGATTTATAGCCTTGGAAACCCTATGGGGCAGTTCTACTCTGTCCTGTAGGGTCACTATGAGTTGGAATCAACTCAGTGGCAATGGGTTTGATTTGGGGTTAGTTAGAAATAAAATAGAAAAACTAGAGATCCAGCAGACATCTTGGATAAAGCCACACAAGATAACAGTACCTAAGTGTGGTTATCACATTCTAGGAGACTGCTCCCCAATTCTGCAGGTCCAGAAGTTAGATTTTTGCCAGACCCCCAGATTAGATGCACTCTCAAATTTAGACTTAGCCGAACTCATGAGGAACCAATTTACAAAGCAGAATGTCAATTTCTTGGGTGACAGTGAAATGAGTGCCCATTGGCAAATTAGCAGTTCTCTCCCTGAAGGAAGGACTATAAAATTATTATCAAAGGTTAGCTTGAAAGTTCAGAAGAACATGTAAAGAATACTACCGTGTGTAAGAAAGAAGGGAAAATAAGGAAACACACATATATCTGCTTATCTTTATAAAAAGAAACACAGGAATGATAAACCAGGAAACAGGTGAGCTTGGTTACCTACAAAGGTTTGAGGGAGACTAAAGGATAGAGATGGGGGCAGAGGGGATATAGGAGGAAGTGACACTACTAAATGGCTGCTAACCAAAATAGAGGCTCGAGTCTGCCCAGAGGCACCTCAAAAGAAGGGCTTGGTGACCTACTTCTAAAAAATCAGCCACTGAAAACCCTGTGGAGCATAGTTCTATTCTGACACATATGGGGTCACATGAATTGGAATTGACTCACTGGCAACTAGTTACTGGTTGGTTTACTGAATCCATAAAGGCAGTATACGGCAGTGCTACTAATAGTTGTCTGCCTAAAAATGGCAAGTGCCACTCTTTTGAAGCTTCTTTTAGGTGTAATGCTTAAAGATATTCAGGGGTTCTCAACCCAGTTAAACATTAGAATCTCCCAGAGAGCTTTCTAAAAATACCCATGCATGGGCCTCGCTTTCTGGTGTGCTCACAGCTACTGACGTGTCTTTGCTTCTTGGCCCTTTCAGTAGATAGGGCAAATAAATAAATAAACACGTACATACATGCATGAATATACACATGCATATTACATATCTTATAAATTATGAAATCACACTAATACCTCCAATTCCAATCCATCCTCACAGGGTTCTCTCTTGCCTTGCCCCATTCCATACTTGTATGTCTTTTCTTCCTTAGTGAGAATCCTAGCTCCCAACAATTGATTATTAAATAACTGTTTATTAAAAGCTTGTCTAAAAATAATATCTTATGTTCACATAGCATAGTTTGTTTGAAAAAAGAATAAAGATGGTAAAAATATGTGTCTCAATTTAATCAAAATGGCATTCAGTTTACCACTTGGTAAAATGTTGGTAACAATGTAAAGTTATTGGAAATGTACATTTCAGGTTATAATGGAGAAAATAATTGAAAAATATCCATTCTCTTTTCACAGCATTTACGTATGGACTAAGACTAATCCTGTGTATATATGTTTCTTTCAGGGCTAGTGGTTGGATTTATCCTAACCATTGCAAATTTAAGCTTTTTTACCTCTTTGCTGGTGTTTTTCCTTTCCTCTTCGAAACTCACTAAATGGAAGGGAGAAACAAAGAAGCGTCTAGATTCAGAATATAAAGAAGGTAAAATGAGTTACGTTTGACATTGCTTGAAATAGTAGGCTTTGTTTCATCCTAACATGAAAATGTTAATTAGAAAGTGTTTAGACTGTTGAAACAGATACATTTCATATGAGAATTACATTAAGTAGCAGCCTAATATAGTTTATTGTTTCACCACATAACAAGTAACAGCAGAAATTTAGAAACATTAAAGCCTATCATTAATTATTTTTGATTTATTAGTAACAGTATATGTGGACAAAGGTGCCAAACAATTTTTAATCCTTTTTTTTTCATTTTAGTTCATTTTTCTTAAATTTTAAAGTGTAAGTTCTATAACTGCATGATTTTCCTTCTGAGAAGAAAATATTTCTTGTGCTTTTTGTCTGCTTGGTTGTTTCCAGGGGGGCAGAGGAATTGGGTTCAGGTGTTCTGTAATGGAGCTGTGCCCACAGAGTTGGCCCTGCTGTACATGATAGAAAATGGCCCAGGGGAAATTCCAATCGACTTTTCCAAGCAGTACACTGCTTCTTGGATGTGTCTGTCTCTCTTGGCTGCACTGGCCTGTTCTGCTGGAGACACGTGGGCTTCAGAAGTTGGCACTGTTCTGAGTAAAAGCCTGCCAAGGCTGATAACAACCTGGGAGAAAGTTCCAGTTGGTAAGTCCTGATTTGAGTTCTTTAAAAAAACAAAAACAAAAAACTTGTTCATTTCTTGTGTATCTTATTTAAGAGCCTTCTAAGAATTTTATTTGGCCTATCTCCTTAACTGGAAAATCGCGAAGGCTATTAAATTGATGATAATAACTAATATTTGCAAGAAATGTTAGCAAGTCCTAGATAAACAATGCAAGAACATAGAGATTGACCCATGAACATATTAATAGGGAAGGGAAAGGAAGTGAACAATTAAGTATTCCTTGAAGGCCTCTTATGTGTTTAGTGCTTTAACATATATCTCAGTTCCCCATTGACATAATCATCTTCTACTCCTACTACTTTTACTCCTCCTCCTCCTACTACATCATCATCATAACAGCTAACATGTTTTGAATACCTACTATGTGCAAACCACTGTTCTAACTGCTTTACGTAGGTTAACATTTAGTACTCATAATAATCACACGAGTTGGTTCATTTATTATTTCCATCTTACAGACAAGGAAACTAAGGCACAAAGAAGTAGGTAACTTAACTACAGTTACACAGCTTAGAAATCGTAGAACTAAGATCAAAACCCAGGCATTCTAGCTCCACTAAACCGTGCCGTTTCAAAGCTTAGAATGTCAGGAGTTATGAAGGAGAAAAGACTATTTTCTAAGTTGGCCGTGGTCTTTGGATTGGATGAAAGAGAACTCTTTATTAGTCTTGATTAGATGGATACCAAAAATGTTCGCTTTATGTTTTTGCTGTTTGTTAACCAGATGATTTTGTGCGTGTTTCTTCTTCAGGGACCAACGGAGGGGTTACGTTGGTGGGCCTTACCGCCAGTCTCCTTGGTGGTACCTTTGTGGGCGTCACGTACTTCCTCACACAGTTGGCTTTTGTAAATGATTTAGACATTTCTGCTCCCCAGTGGCCAATTATTGCATTTGGGGGTCTGGCTGGATTACTAGGATCAATTCTGGACTCCTATTTAGGAGCGACAATGCAGTTTTCTGGTAAGAACTTATCTTGTTATTGCAACTTACTGATGTATTAAAGACATATGAAAGAAAAAAAAAAAGATGCAAGAGTGCAAACAAACCCAAAGACAGGGAGTTGTGCAATCAAGAATGATAAAGTCTCTTCTATGATTTTGTTTTTTTTATTCTTTTGCTTTAAATTAATTGAAAGAGAATTAGTCCTGCTGAGCAATGATTAGAAGCTGTATGGGCAGGATACAATAGTGTAGGAAAGAGATGCTTTTGCTTTTGCTTATGGGACTTCACCTAATCTTGGGAAAGCAGGACATTTTGGGATCAGATAATTTTAATGCACCGCCTTCCATATGTTTTCTAAGTACCTCTGAGAAATAATTATTGTTCTAACATGACTAACGCACACATAACCTACTTTTCCACTGTGATATCATGCTTATCCTCCTCCCCACTAAGCTTTCAGCCCCACCCAAGATATATGGGAGAGTCAGTTTTTGTGTTTTGCTTCTGAGGCTCTCCCGTCTGGTTATTGTACCAACGTATTGTTAGGTGTGAATTGTTCCACACTCTCATCAACCCTGTTTTCTCCTTTGATTAGCATCGTGAAGATACTGGGAGCCTGGAGAAAGGTTCCCTGAAAATACAGTCTTCCCAGTGCTGTTGATGCCCGAAGATGATTTGCCCATCCTTCCCCTCCCCTGTCCACCAGTCAGAATGTGTGTTCTTTCAGTTTTGTTAGCCTCAACTAGCTGCCAAGGAGGAAGCAATCTGATTTTAATTTACACTAAAGGGTCAATAGCTCTCTAACTGGGGAAGTTTCATATCATATTGAGTAAGTGGAAAAAATGTGGGCAGTGGGGGAGATTAATTCATTCAGTAGATCTTTATGTGCCTCCTTTGTGTCAACTCCATGCTGGGCCCTATGTATCCAGTGCTGAGGCCACAGATGTGACCTCTACTCTCAGGGGCCTCATAGGTTGGTCTTGGAAAGGAACCACTGGGAAGGCAGCCCAGCCTGCCAGTTTCATGCCATCTCTGCTTTTCATGTTCTCCTTTCTACTGCTGAAGAATCTTCAGGAGTGTTGAGAGAACAGTATTGATGTGTAGGGAAACCCATTTATTCAAAGATGTTATTTGTAATCAAAGGTTTCATATCTCTCGCTATGTAAATTATCTACTAAAAACCATTTTAGAAGTGGCGAGAATCTAATAGATTGTCTCCTTTGGCGGAGAAAAGCCAGTTTGTTCTTTTTTTAAAATCAAGTCGTTTGGATTTTTTACCTCACTTGCTTCCTTCCCTTCCAGGTTTGGATGAAAGCACAGGCATGGTGGTCAACAGCGCAACGAATGAGGCAAAGTATATAGCAGGAAAACCCATTCTTGATAATAATGCTGTGAATCTGTTTTCTTCTGTCCTTATTGCTCTCTTGCTCCCAACAGCTGCTTGTGTTTTGTGGCCCAGGGAGTGAATCTTACATTATTTTCACAGGTTGAAACTGTGGTGAGTTCAGCTAAATTTTCAATTCCAAGTTCTATCTTAAGAATAGTAATTTTAGTGGTATAAGCAGAAATACCAGCTTCTCTCATATTCCATTATAATGGGATTCCACATTTTTTGCTCTCATCAGCTCTGTTGTAACCACTAATATCTTTCTAGTGAAAGAGAAGAGAGCATAGAACTTACACATATTTTTCTTCTGCTGGATGGAGCTTCTTAGCAGTGAAGCTGTATTATCCACTCCTGAAACTGAAAGTTCCTACCTAGTGGAGTGGAGTTGGAGTAGGGCGCTGTTGAGTAATGTTCGACTCATAGTGACCCCATGTGAAAAAGTAAAATTGCCCCATAGGGTTTTCTTGGCTGTAATGTTTACAGAAGCAGTTCACCAGATCTTCCTCCCACAAGCCAATAGGTGGATTCCAACCCTCAGCCTTTCGCTTAGTAGCCAACTGCTTAATCGTTTGCACCACCAGGGCTTCTTTCCTACCTGGCTGATATAAATTTTGCTTTGTTTTAATCAGTGTAAGGATTAAAAGTGATGAAATTTTAAAATGGTTCTCAGTTGTGGCAGACAAAAGCCACTGTGACAGTTACCCAAATGTTGTGTCTGTTTAAAGCAGACTATGGTGATGTGTGTGGAAGCCTAAATAAATTTAGCATCTTGGACTTCCCCATTCACAATTGTGAAAAGTATTGAATTTGGTTCCTAGTGAGCTGTGTTGTATACTCTACATTTTCCTTCCTGCCTCAGGGTTAGTGATTAAAAAAAAAGTAAAAGTCTTTTTCAGATGACCGTCAGAATGCATGAAAAAATACTTTTAAAGTAAAAGCAAAAGAGATTTGTATCTAAAAAATGTGCACCTTACTATGTTTCAATCGCTCTCTGAGCAGGAGTTGTCATGAATTTAATACTTTCTGAATATATTTTCTAACATTCTTTGAAATATGCTCTGGAATCTGGTTTAGCATTGACCTCCTAAACAATTAAAGTCACTGGAAAATTATTGTTTATTTGCTATGCTAGAAGTTGCTGGAAGATGCTATGTACCTTCTAAGTTGTGCTCTCCTTTACATTGCAGCCTCAATTAAAGTGAATTCTACTTTTTGATGTTGTTCTTCACTGTGATTTACTGTGTGCTAAAAGAGTTTTGATTTAGTACAAATTATTTTATTAAAAGTATTTAAAAATGTTTCTCATATGATTTCCATACCTTTCTATCCCTGCCTCCTTTACACCATCAGAGCGGATAAAACTTAGAATTCTTTATTAGTGATCCAGACCCTACTACAGTGATGATATAGGACTGACTTGGTTAAGGAAAAAGAAGGACAGTTGACACCCTAATCCTTAAGCCAGGCAACTCAGTGGGTCTCAACCAATGGTTTTCAGCTATGGCTGTACATTAGAATCACTGGGATATCTTTAAAAACAAAAACAAAAACAAAAAAACTTTAGTCTGGGCTTTACCCCCAAAGATTCTGATTAGCTTGTCTGGGGTTTAGCCTGCATATTGGGACTTTTTAAAGTTCTGACTGCACATTAGAATCACCTAGAGAGTTGTTTTTTTTTTTTTTAAATAATACTTTATTGTGTTTTTGGTGGGAGTTTACACAGCAAATTAGGTTCCCATTTAACAGTTTCTACACAAATTATTCAGTGACATTGATTACATTTTCCACAGTTTGTCAAATTCTTATTAATTCTGTTCTGGTTATCATATGAGTTGTTTTTTTTTTTCCCCCTTCTAAATTTTATTTATTTTGTTGTTGAGAATATACACAGCAAAACACACACCAATTCAACAGTTTCTACATGTACAATTTAGTGACATTGATTACTCTCTTCAAGTTGTGCAACCATTCTCACCCTCCTTTTCTAAGTTGTTCTTCCCTCATTAACATAAACTCACTGCCCCTTAGGTTCCTATCTAATCTTCCGACTTGCTACTGTCAATTTGATTCCATATAGACAGTTCTTAAAAGAGCATAATGTTCAAGGTAGACCTTTTTTACTAGTTAAACTAAACTATTGTTTGGTTTTAAGATGACTTCAGGGGATATTTTTGGTTTAAGATTTAAAGATTATCTCAGGGCAATAGTTTCAGTTCTTCCAGCCTCCATGGCTCCAGAAAGCCTGGAGTCCATGAGAATTTGAAATTCTGTTCTGCATTTTCTCCCTTTTGATCAGGATTCTTCTATGGAATCTTTGATCAAAATGTTCAGTAATTATAGCCAGGCATTATCCAGTTCTTCTGACCTCATGGCAGAAGAGGCAGTTATTCATGGAGGCAATTAGCCACACATTCCATATACTCCTTCTCTTCCTGACTCTCCTTCCTCTGTTGATTCTTGTGGATAGAGACCAATTGTTGTGCCTTGGATGGCTGCTTGCATCCTAGAGAGTTTTTTAAAGCACTGTTGCCAAGTCCCCTCTAGACCAACTAAATTAGAATATCTGAAGGCGAGGCCATGCATGGATATTTTTAGAAAGCTCCCCGGGAGTTTCTAATATTCAACTGGATTGAGAACCCCTGAATATCTTTGAGCATTACATCTAAAAGAAGCTTCAAAAGAGTGGCACTTACCATTTTTAGGCAGCAATTATTAGTAGCAGTGCTATATGCCACCTTTATGGATTCAGTAAACCAACCAGTAACTAGTTGCCATCGAGTCAGTTCCAACTCATGGTGACCCCATATGTGTCAGAATAGAACTATGCTCCATAAGGTTTTCAGTGGCTGATTTTTTAGAAGTAGAGCACCAGGCCTCTCTTTTGAGGTGCCTCTGGGTAGACTCAAGCCTCTATTTTGGTTAGTAGCCATTTAGTAGCTGAGTGTGTTAACTGCTTGCACCACCCATGAATGCAATAACTACTGGAAATTATACAATGTCTTATAGGTACATCATGTGCCAAGTTATTCCTGTGGCAATTTTTTGTGCAGTCTGTTTATTTCTGCAGTTCTTCTAATATGTCTTTTCTCTTTTCCTGGGGATTTAACCTTAATGACATTTTATGGAACAAAAACGTTTATTGGGACTGTCTTTGGGTTTGGTAGGATCACCGTGTCATTAACGGTTTGGGAAAATACTGCTTGATAATTCTTTATTTGAAAACTAGGACTAGTTGTGATTTGGAATCAAAATTTTTCAGGTTTTAGAAAAGTAGCAGGGTACATATAAAATATTCTACTTAAAACTCCCCAAAAAAGGTCTGGGGAAACACCCCATTTTCAAGCATTTCTATTGTGAATGTATAAATAACTCTGCTAACAAGGGGCCTCAGATTGAGTCAGCACAGGTTTTACTGCCAGATAAGTTTACTGCCAAACTTGTGAAGAAACTTTATGTTTTTAGAGCTTTGTGGATGTGAGAAGTATGGATAAGGAATTCGGGCTCTGTCCTTTTTTTTTTTAATTTTTACTGTAGCATCTTTTGTACTTGGATATTTAATTTCAACATTTCATTCTTCTTTGCCTAGCACTTTATTCAAAATAGGCCTCTGACAGAAAAAGTTTCATGTAACAACAGTATAGTAAAATGGTACGTACTGCCTACCTAGGCAGAGTAAAGATATAGTATTTCTTATCATGCTGTTGCACAGTAGCGGAGAGCAGGTGTATGTTGCAAAAGGAAGCTCCTGAGGGAGACCCGAAGACTCCAAAGAGTGGCATGTTGATGACACATCAAATGGGGCCACCAAGAGAACAATAAATTGAGATAAAGTAGGTCATCGTATTCTTTGTGTGTTTTTGTTTCTGGGATTATCTATGCCTCAGCCTAGGTATATATATCTCTTTCTTGTTTCTAGCTGCTACATATGCAGAAATGCCAACTCCACTCCTATTAGACATAGGCCTAGTAGAGAGAAAAATCACATGAAGTGAAGCATTATAAACTTTGCTGCATACCTGCATTATGAACAGCTGCTGCCTCTTATGCACAGTTTGGTTATACCAGGGCCCGACCACACCTGAATTTATCTGATGTTCCTGATGCCATCACACTGAGAAGGAACTGTACTAGTATCCTAAAGATGCCATCTAATCCTAGGTAAATTGTGTATAGTTTAAAAATGAAACCACAATTATGCAGCTTAGTTGTTTATTTAATCTCTTTATGGAGAGTATCTGTTGCTATAACCCCAAGTGGTCTGGAACATTTCTGAAACACATAGGTATTCAGTGTTTGTGTGTTAATTAAGCTGACTCTAATCAGCATTCCTTTAAGAGTTGCTGAAAATTGATCATCAGGAACATACTTATGGAGAGAAATAAAAAATTTAAAAACCGATTCAGCTACCTGAATTTCTGAGGACTGTGATGATTCCAACATTTCTTGATCATATGATGCAATATTAATGGTTTTGAAACTAATTAGTCAGAATGGTTGTAGAAGGAGTGGGGATGAGGCCATGTTGGTGGAGCAAGTCTGCTGAAATTATTTTCTCTTTCAAGACTGAACTTGTTAATTCTATTAATTATAACCGCCCCCTTCAAAGTTTATTTTATCAATGCAGTGACTTTTTTTTATGTTTGGCTTTTTCTTTTTTTTTAATGTTTAAATTCTTAAGTTACACTGAATCTATTCTCCTTTTAAAAAAATTAGAACAATAGATATAAAGCTAAAATCTCTTTTTGTCCCCACTACCCTCTCAACAACCCTGGCCCTGCTTAACCCTCCCTGAGATAACTACCACTATACATTTGGGATATTTTTACATAATATATGTGTTGGGTATGTATTTAACATACTTTTTGAAAAAATCAATGAAATTTTTTTATAACTACTACTGTGTTTTTAGTGCTTCAAGTCAGGTGCTTACATCTAAGAAAAATCTATTTCGGAAGAAAGATTAGAAATATGTATATATCAAAATATTAAGTGTTATCTGGTAAGACGATAGTTTTTTGTTAAAATAATTTTCAGTTTATGGTATGTGAATTATATCTCAATAAAATCGTTATTAAAAATACATGCACAAAAACTATTTTTCTTAAAAGACCACAATCAAATGCAGTTCTTTTACAAATAAAAAAAAAAAAATGCCCCAAATAAAATAATCTGTGGAAAGTACCCCCACCCCCACCCCGCATCTACCACTCCATCATTATTTTTCATGGTCTTCTCTTTATAAACCTCCTTATTAGCAATTAACTGTTGTTGTTAGTTGCTGTGGAGTCAGTTCTGACTCATGGAAACCTCATGTATTTTAAACTAGAACTACTCCGTAGGGTTTTTGGAAGAAGATGGCCAGGTTTGTCTTCTGAGGCATCTCTGGGTGGGTTCGAACCTCCAACCTTTCAGCTAGTAGTCCAGTGCTTAAGCATTTGCACTACCCAGGGACCTAGCAATAAACTAAAAGTAAAATGGAATTTTAGTATCAGAGGGAAAATAATGAAATGTATAAATGTGTATCAAGGTAGTGTTCAACTTACTATGTATTCAAATTATGACAAACTGTACTTAAGACTGTCTTTTTTTGTACATTTTATTGTTAGTAATATGTACAACATACAATGTTGCAGCATGTAATTTGCTAATGTTATCATTATCTGTAAATTTATATGTAATGTTTCCAACCCCCAAAGACAAGATAGGATTTATAAAGATACTGACAATAAAAGGCAATAATAATGAAAACTAAGAAAAAAAAAAGATATCCTACGTAAGTTGGAGTGGAACCCCATTATAAGTGACTAGCTGTATGTGCAAAGAAATTTTCTGATACCATCACTTTTGGATTGTTACAAAATAAGTATCACCTATCTTCATGCGTATGTAGGCAATCTTGTTTAAGACTGGATTGGTGGCAAATTTTTTCAAACTCTTCTGATCTTGCTTAGCAATTCACACTTGGAATTATACATGGTAAACACTTTATTTTGTGTCAAAATTCTAAACACATTGTCCTAGAATTCTAGAACAAAGAACCTTAAGGAATCTTCTCGTGCCATTGCCCAGATTTGAAGCTAAAAAATCACATATACCATCTCATGTGAGTTAATATAATCTTTTCTAAAACTCTTTAATGCCTCGTTACCTTTGCGTATACTGTTCCTTTTACCTAGAATTCCTTCTCCCTCTTCTCCTTTATTGATCTTTCAAAAGCCATCTCAGTGGCATTTCCTATGAGAAGCTTTCCCAGACTCTCTCAGGCTTAATTAGCCATCCCATGGCACATTTAATACTTACCTGTAGCAGTTATCACCAATGAATGTTGAGTAAATGCCCTCAGTGTGTTAATATTTAACCTGTTTCTTAAAGTACTGATTCCCCTATTATATTGCTAAGTCACTGGCAGGTGTAGAAAGGGCTCTAAACATTTCTTTGGGGCTAAATATGGTTTTTAAAGTCCATTTGTGGGGCCAGAGTAATAATAGGGATTCTTAGTTATTTCCTCTTGATCTCATCAAGCTGTAATTTTTGAAAAGATGATACCAGGATTAACTGATTAGAAATTGTATGCAGTGACCTCAGTGCTACCCATTTCTGTCCTGTGTTGGCTGCTTAGCTAGACAGCAGGAGAATAAAGTACACTGAGAACCATAATGAAAACAACGAAAAAAAAAAAGAAATTGTATGCAGTGAAGAAAGGTCCCCACATTTCTGTTGTAATCATCTATGTAGTGTTGCATATAACCCATTGCTGTCAAGTCAATTCTGATTCATAGTGACCCTATAGGACAGAGTAGAATTTCCTGATAGGATTTCCAAGGAGCAGCTGGTGGATCTGAACTGCAGATCTTTTGGTTAACATC